TCCTGCTGGGCTTAGGCTTTCTTTGTTGTTCTTTCTCTAGCTCCTTTAGGTGTAGGGTTAGGTTGTGTATTTGAGACCTTTCTTGTTTCTTGAGAAAGGCTTGTACCGCTATATATTTTCCTATCAGGACCGCCTTTGCTGTGTCCCACAGATTTTGAACCGTTGTGTTTTCATTATCATTTGTTTCCATGAATTTTTTCAATTCTTCCTTAATTTCTTGGTTGACCCATTCATTCTTTAGAAGGATGCTGTTTAGTCTCCATTTATTTGGGTTCTTTCCAAATTTCCTCTTGTGATTGAGTTCTAGCTTCAGAACATTGTGGTCTGAAAATATGCAGGGAATGATCCCAATCTTTTGATACCGGTTGAGACCTGATTTGTGACCCAGGATGTGATCTATTCTGGAGAATGTTCCATGTGCACTAGAGAAGAATGTGTATTCTGTTGCTTTGGGATGAAATGTTCTGAATACATCTGTGATGTCCATCTGGTCCAGTGTGTCATTTAAGGCCTTTATTTCCTTGTTGATCTTTTGCTTGGATGATCTGTCCATTTCAGTGAGGGGAGTGTTAAAGTCCCCTACTATTATTGTATTATTGTCGATGTGTTTCTTTGATTTTGTTATTAATTGGTTTATATAGTTGGCTGCTCCCATGTTAGGGGCATAGATATTTAAAATTGTTAGATCTTCTTGTTGTACAGACCCTTTGAGTATTATATGGTGTCCTTCCTCATCTCTTGTTATAGTCTTTGGCTTAAAGTCTAATTGATCTGATATAAGGATTACCACCCCAGCCTTCTTCTGATGTCCATTAGCATGGTAAATTGTTTTCCACCCCCTCACTTTAAATCTGGGGGTGTCTTCGGGTCTAAAATGAGTTTCTTGTAGGTTGCATATTGATGGGTTTTGTTTTTTTATCCATTCTGATACCCTGTGTCTTTTGATTGGGGCATTTAGCCCATTAACATTCAGGGTAACTATTGAGAGATATGAGTTTAGAGCCATTGTATTGCCTGTAAGGTGACTGTTACTGTATATTATCTGTTCCTTTCTGATCTACTACTTTTAGGGTCTTTCTTTGCTTAGAGGACCCCTTTCAATATTTCCTGTAGAGCTGGTTTGGTGTTTGCAAATTCTTTCAGTTTTTGTTTGTCCTGGAAGCTTTTAATCTCTCCTATTTTCAATGATAGCCTAGCTGGATATAGTATTCTTGGCTGCATGTTTTTCTTGTTTAGCGCTCTGAATATATCATGCCAGCTCTTTCTGGCCTGCCAGGTCTCTGTGATAAGTCTGCTGCCAATCTAATATTTTTACCATTGTATGTTACAGACTTCTTTTCCCGGGCTGCTTTCAGGATTTTCTCTTTGTCGCTAAGACTTGTAAATTTTACTATTAGGTGACACGGTGTGGACCTATTCTTATTGATTTTGAGGGGGGTTCTTTGCACCTCCTGGATTTTGATGCTTGTTCCCTTTGCCATATTGGGGAAATTCTCTCCAATAATTCTCTCCAATATACCTTCTGCTCCCCTCTCTCTTTCTTCTTCTCCTGGAATCCCAATTATGCTAATGTTGTTTCGTCTTATGGTGTCACTTATCTCTCGAATTCTCCCCTCATGGTCCAGTATTTGTTTGTCTCTCTTTTGCTCAGCTTCTTTATTCTCTGTCATTTGGTCTTCTATATCACTAATTCTTTCTTCTGCCTCATTTATCCTAGCAGTAAGAGTCTCCTAGCAGTAACCTCATTAACAGGTTTTTTATTTCAACTTGGTTAGATTTTAGTTCTCTTATTTCTCCAGAAAGGGCTTTTATCTCTCCAGAGAGGGTTTCTCTAGTATCTTCCATGCCTTTTTCGAGCTCCGCTAGAACCTTGAGAATCGTCATTCTGAACTCTAGATCTGACATATTACCACTGTCCGTATTGATTAGGTCCCTAGGCTTTGATATTGCCTCTTGTTCTTTTTTTTTTTTGTGGTGAGTTTTTCCGCCTTGTCATTTTGTCCAGATAAGAATATATGAAGGAGCAAATAAAATACTAAAAGGGTGGCAAAGACCCCAGGAAAATGTGCTTTAGCCAAATCAGAAGAGACCCCAAATCATGGGGGGGAGAAAGGGGATAAAAAGAAGTTCAGAAAAAAAAAAATTTAAAAAAAAAAGAAAACAAATTTAAAAAAATATAAAAAAGAAAAAATATATATATTAGACTGGTGACTAGAACAGGGTCATCCACTTAATTTTGGGAGTATTTTGGTCTCTTAGAAGAAACTACCTCCCAAAATTTTAAAGAATGAAAAACACGTAATAAGGGTAAACACAATGAAGGGATGGAATATGCCTATAAAGATTAAAAACAAAAATTTTTTTTTAAAGTTTCTAAAAAAGGAGTTGATAAAGTAAGTTGGTTGGGAGAATACAGAAAAAGAAAGTGGAGAGATTTTGCTCGAACTGGAGACTAGAACAAGCCCGGAGCTAGATTTAGGGCATATTTTGATCTATTAGAAGAAGTTGTACTCCAAATTTTTTAGAAGAAAAAACACTGTGTGTATACAAAAACTAAAGTTAGATACAATGAAGGATAAAATATGACTCTAATAATGAAGGTTCAAAAAAGATTATTATTATTATTTTTTAATGAAAGGTATTGTTAAGATAAACTAGTTAAAAAACGTTAAAAGAGGAAAGGGTAAAAGTTAAAAAAATTTAGAAGAAGAAAATAAATAAAATTTTTAAAAAATTAAATTAACTGTAAGACTAAGGAATCATGGGGAGAAAGCCATGAATTCCATGCTTTGCTTTCTCCTCCTCTGGAATTCTGCTGTTCTCCTTGGTACCTGAACTTGGTCTTGGCTGAATTTCTTGTTGATCTTCTGGGGGAGGGGCCTGTTGTAATGATTCTCAAGTGTCTTTGCCCCAGGCGGAATTGCAGCGCCCTTATCAGGGGCCGGGCTAAGTAATCCGCTCACTTGGGTTCAGTTTCGGGAGCTTTTGTTCCCTGAAAGCTTTCTGTAGAGTTCCTGAGGACGGGAATGAAGAGGGCAGCCTCCCCGTCTCTGGCCCAGAGGAGCCGAGAGTTTGGGGCCCCACTCCTCAGTGCACCCTCAGAGAAAAGTGCCCAATCACTCCCGTCTCCCTGGCCTCTGGCTGCGCTCCAAGCTCACCCAGCCTGCGACCGGTTCAAGGTAACCCCGAGCTGAGAGCTCACTCCTCGGCTCTGTCTCTGTAGCCAGCTTCCCTGCTCTAATACCTGCGAGCTCTGTGACACTCAGACACCCCCGATCCTTCTGTGACCCCGCGGGACCTGGGGCCACGCTGACCCCGCGTGGGCTTCACCCCAGTTTAGCCTCTGGAGCGATGTCCCTCAATGGAGCAGAACTTTTAAACGTCCTGATTTTGTGCTCCGTTGTTCCGCCACTTGCTGGGAGCCGGCCTCTCCCACTGCGGTCTATCTGCCTGTCGCTTTGGATTCACCTGTCCGCCGGTCCTACCTTTCAGAAAGTGGTCGATTTTCTGTTTCTAGAATTGTTGCTGTTCTTCTCTTCTGTCTCCTGTTGGGTCTGTAGGTGTTCGCAATGGATTGATAATTTATCTAGCTGATCTCCTGCTACCTGATATAGTCTCAGCCTGCTACTTCTCCGCCATCTTGACTTCCCTATTTATTTATAAGTAACCTCCATGCCCAGTGTGGGGCTTGAACTCACAACTCCAAGATCAAGAGTCACACACTCCACTGACTGAACCAGCCAGGTGCCCCAAGCTGTTAATTTTTTATAATGAGCCTATTTAAATGACATAAATATTTTATTTTTTTAAATTATTGTTTTAAGATTTTATTTATTTATTTGAGAGAGAGAGAGAGAGAGCATGAGAAGGGAGGAGGTCAGAGTGAGAAGCAGACTCCGCGCTTAGCTGGGAGCCCGATCTGTCCTGGGACTCTGGGATCATGACCTGAGCTGACAGCAGTCGCTTAACCAGCTGAGCCACCCAGGTGCCCAGTGACCCAAGTATTTTAAATTAGAGGAATCAGCATTACATACATTTTTGAATGTGGAGGTGGTCCCATGATATGGAGAAAATCTTTTCTCACAAACTAATTATAAACAGTGACAGACTTTTTTCTTTAAGCAGTTCGCATTTACCATCTCTGTAATCTTTTGTTTCATTTGATTCAAAACCTAAAGAGGATTAATAGGACATTTTGTTTCAAAGTTGAATCTGACAATATCTAGCAACTGTTCCTATTTCCTTTTCATAAATCTCAAAGTCAGACAAGAATCTGAAACTTAACATGACCACGGGTCATTTGTTACACATTCCATTCTCTCACTCATTCCATCGTGATGAGAGCATGCCCCAGCAGTTGTTCCTAGCCTTAGCTGGTGGATACTTGAATGTGGCATGTGTATACTTTAGTATTGTTCTTGCTAGACAGAAGCAGACCCGAGTTATTAAAAAGTGACAGTATAGTTCTAAATCTTTTTTTTTTTTTTTAAGATTTTATTTATGTATTTGACAGAACACAAGTAGGGAGAGAGACAGGCAGAGAGAGGGGGAAGCAGGCTCCCTGCTGAGCAGAGAGCCCAATGCAGGGCTCCATCCAAGGACCCTGGGATCATGACCTGAACTGAAGGCAGAGGCTTTAACCCACTGGGCCACCCAGGCACCCCGGTCTATATCTTTCTAAACATGTTTATCAGAAGCTCAAATATATGCCCAGAGAAGACAGGAAAAGCTTTATTATAAGGGCTGCATGAATTACGAATGACCTTGGCAGTATAAATTAACTCATTGGTGGTTTCTTCCTTATCTACCCCAACCCTCCACAACCAAACTCTTCTCATTTTTCCCTTCTGTTTCCTTAGTTTTAGAGCAAAAAGAGCAAAGGAGAGTTTTTGTTCTATCTCTTAAATGAGGGTGAAATAAAATACTCTTTTCTTCAAAGATCCCCAGCCTTCCTGGAGAGGAGCTACTATTACTCTAGGGAAGTAGGAGGAGAATATTCAGATAACGAGGCCCATGGAATGGGTGAGTGAAGGTGATGCTGAACTCATTCATCTTTACAGATAATCTCATAAAACTCTGGAAAGCTATAGGAGACAGGGTGTCACCAAGAAATGGTGTTGCACAGAAACAGGTTTGAAGACCAGCTAGGATGTGTCTATATCTGTTTCTAGGTTTATCAGAGAATAGGATATATGTTTTTTTCCATCTGCATTAGAGTAGAATGAGGTTTGTTGATTTTTTTTTAAAGAATGTATTCTTTATCTAATGCCCCAAGATTTTTTCATGTTGTCTAAAACTAGTTGCAGACCAGATAGAGAAGGCAAGAACTTACTCTCACTTTTTAAAAAAAAATTATTTTTTATCTTATTTTTAGTAAGCGCTGCACCCAACGTGGGGCATAAATCATGACCCGAGGTCAAGAGTTGCATGCTCTACCAACTGAACCAGCCAGGTGTCCCATTATGCTCACTTTTTATAAGCTTTAGAAACAGCAAATAACAGTTGGATTCAGGGCCATTATAAAAGTAAAGACTCATTTATATTCTAAATTATAGCAGGTGTGTAATGATGGTGAAGAAACATTAAATGGCTTAATTCTGGATGTTTATAAGTGCTGGAGTTTTTAGAACATTTTGAGCTTATTACACAAAGTAGCAGTAACGGGAGAAAATGATCTCTTAGATCTAGGACTTAAATATATATCATTACATAATGGGTTCCTCTCCCAGCTAAATCTTGTGAGCCTCTCTCTGGGATGGGTAATAGAACTGGACTAAGCCAAGAAACTTTTCAAGTGTTAGTTCTTTTATAACTTTCAATAAAAAATATTTTTGAGTTATTTTTTAATTAATTTTATTTTAAAAATTTAATCACCTCAGTAAATACATATTGTATATTTTTGCCTTTTGATTAAGTAAATAACCATTAGTGGTAGAACAGAGGTTTGGAAATCAGGGAGCTCTTCTTGTCTTTTCTGTGTTGTAGATTAATGCTCTAAGGGACAACTCATAACTACCCTGAGGCTGTCTTCTTATCTGTAGACTGTATCAGTAGGCCCTCGATGCCCAGTAAAGGAGTCACTAGCCACAGGTGGTTATTGAGCCTTTGAAGTGTGGCTGGTCCAAATTGAGATGTGCTCTAACTGTAAAATACACACTGGATTTTAAAGACTTAGCACAGAGATAAGAATGTAAAATATTTTATTGCTAATTTGTTTATATTGACTACATTGTTGGAATGATAATATTTTGGGTACACTGGTTAAGTAAAAATACAATTAAAATTAATTTCATCCATTTCTTTTTCCTTTTTTTTTTTTTTTTTTAAAGTAATCTCTACACTCAGTGTGGAGCTCAGTCTCATGACGATCAAGAGTTGCATGCTCTACTGACTGAGCCAGCCAGGTGCCCCTTTTATTCCTTTTTTTAATGTGGCTGCTAGAGAATTTTAAATTCCATACATGGCTGGGGCGCCTGGGTGGCTCAGTGGGTTAAAGCCTCTGCCTTCGGCCCAGGTCATAATCCCGGGGTCCTGGGATCGAGCCCCACATCGGGCTCTCTGCTCAGCGGGGAGCCTATCCCCCCCCACCTACTTGTGATCTCTGTCAAATAAATAAATAAAATCTTAAAAAATATAAATTCCATACATGGCTCACATTATATGACTTTTGGGCAGTACTGGTTTGCACAGCATTTCCTAAGCTAACTCATGAAATATTACTAAGTGCTCAATGTAACACAGTTTGGAAGAGGAACAGTGTCCAGTAGAACTTTTTGCAATGATATAAGTGTTCTGTATCTGCTAGCCACTGATAGCTGTTGAGCACTTGAAATGTGTTTAGTTCTGAAATTAAAAAATTGAAATCTGGGATGCCTGGGTGGCTCAGTCGGTTAAGCTTCTGCCTTTGGCTCAGGTCATGATCCCAAGGTCCTGGAATCAAGTGCCACATTAGGCTTTCTGCTTGGTGGGGAGTCTGCTTCTCCATCTGCCCCTCCCCCTGCTTTTGTTCTCTTGTTTTAAAAGAAAAAAAGAAAAATTGAAATGTGGAAGAAAGGAACTGAATTTTGAATTAACTTTATTTTTTTATTTTTTTAATTTTTAACTAGCTTTAAATAACTACATATGAGTAGTTGCTAATGTATGGGTACTGTACTGATCTAGAAGATTTATGGGATTGTTTTATTTGAAGACCTGTACACGTAGGACTTACTATTTTGCAAACTTGCTTAATATGTCTGTGATTTGGGTTTATTATGAGTAATGAAAAGTGATCAGTAACAATAATATTTATTGAGTACCTGTTATGTAGCAGGCACTGTGTAAGGATCAGAAAGAGGACTTGTATGATAAATTATTTATTACGAGCTTAACTATATGTATTGCTCCTGTTTTGTATTATGAATTCCAAGATGCTATTTGGACTTTACCATGTTTTCATCAAAGTCTGGTTTCTTTCCTTAACTTATGAATGCCCTTCTGTGAAAGCCTGGCTCCTTTTGAAAAGTCTGAGCAATGTGCTACCTTATTATAGGATTTTCTCTTGAAAGGGAAACCTACATTTTCTGACAGATGATGATGGTTTGTTTTTGTTTTTAGTTAACTTAAAAAAATTTATGTATTTATCAGAGAGTATGTGCATGCAGTGGGTGGGGGGTGAATGATAGATGGAGAGGGAGAGAAAATCTCTAGCTGACTCTCTGTTGTGGGGGGAGCCCGACGCTTGTCTCAGTCTCACAACCCTGAGATCATAACCTGCGTCAACATCAAGTGTTGGACACTTAATCAACTGAGCCACCCAGGCGCCCCTGTTTTTAGTAAACTTTTGAAGTTAGTTATGCTTTTGACTTTAACAGGGATATATATATGTCTTAGATAGAGACTTAAGAGTTCAGTATTATGTAGTATTTATTCTCTTCATTTATATGTACACATACAGTTATAAGTACTAGCATCAAGCATGTTTGTTTATTTATTCATTTATTACTACTTCACAGTGAAGAACGAATGTCATCATGTCTGGACTCAAGCGAACGATCAAAGAAACCGATCCAGATTATGAGGACGTGTCTGTGGCCCTTCCAAATAAGCGTCATAAAGCAATTGAGAATTCAGGTACGAAGGAACCTGCTTTGAGAAATTATTTCTTTGTTGAGATGTGCTTCCTTATAAGATTTATAGGGATTAAGACAAAATGCATTTCCACTGTTTTGTATAATCTGAAGAGGGATTAGTTAAATGCTCTGTTAATAGCAATACACCGTGTGTACCAACAAAGACCAGAAGACAATCACATAGACAGTGAAAGTGTCAGTAGTGAGACTGGCTGAAAGTTTTAGCTATCATGGTATGTAGGGCATAACCATAAAGTCTTATAATATGCAGTATGGGTAGATGATAACGGGTGGCACATGAATTAAGGTTTTTTATTGCAGTAGTGCCATATTATTTTAATGTCTATTGGAAATACATGGTCTCATCAAACTCATAGTTTCATGACTACTGTTGCTTAGGATAAGGCTAAAATTATTTAAATATATTATTTAATTATGTGAATTAGATGTTTCATATGATTGTCAGATGTAGTGTAGGTAACTTAAAGGTTGTATATGAAGGACCTAAATTTGGAAGATTCTGATCTAGTTTAACCCTTGCACTTAGCTGCTAGTAGTTTAGGCTCAGAGGCGTGAAATTACTTGCCCAAGATCATATGATTAGTTGAAGAGCAAATTATCAACTATGTGTCTGTAGCTACTCAGAATATTTTAAGGTATCTCAGGAGAAGGTCCTGAATTTGGGTTTTTAAAACAAATTATTGCTGAAATTCACTGCTGTTTATTCAAATAATAAATCTATGTAAATTGACACGGCTGGGTACAGAAGGCATCCAAGTCATAGTGTTGTAGCTCCACAAAGATTAGTGCCCCTGGTGTTGAAGTAGTGAAAGAAAGTTTGTGGCTCCAAGTGCAGTCAAGTCCTATGTACCTCCCAAAAGTCTTTGTGGACCAAAAATTATCAAATTGAATTCCAAATAATGAAAACATTTCACTGCAACCTTTCTCCTCATTCAGTTATTTTATTTATAAGGAAATTATTTCCTTTCAGTAATAAGCCAAAGACTTGTGACATTTAGATCCATTACTCAAATGCATCAGATGGCATGACTTTTTTAATAAAAATAAGAAGAAAAACTGATTGTTTTAGTGAACATAATAATTTCACTTTAAAAATAAAGTATAATTTCCCAGGTACTTAGCCTAAGCAGGGATAGTTTTTCCTACTGAGGGATAATTTGCTATTCTTCCTCTTGGTGACCATTCTGTGCCTAATCCCAAACCATATTTTTATTTTTCAGAATTTTGCTTCTGAATACTTCCTTTTGCTTATATTATTTTGTTTTTATTTATTCCATGAAAGACGTAATTTAGAAGAGTTTCTCTCTAAGGAGCTTACGATAAAACAGCCTTCAGTGATCAAGGTGTCTGACTTCAGCCTCTTTTCCCTAAGAGTATCTGCTGGTTTGTACACACAAGGATATATATATATATATAAGGATGTATATAGTGATACTAGAAAATACTCTTTCACAATGACAAAAAGCAGTCATTTTCCTCCATGCAGACTATCCATAAGAATGCTCACTTATACCACTTATACCATTATTGGTTTGTAGTTGCCAGTTTAATGACATATTTTACAGGGAGAAAATTACATGGGTCATCAGAGGGTCCAAATTTTCTCTGTAATTTTTCATACACTCCAAAGCATGCATGAACATAATTTTTTTTTCATATTGTAGACATAGGCTCACTTTGTATAATTCCCAGGTTTTTTTTTTTTTCTTTTTTAAGGATTTTATTTTTAAGTAATCTCTACACCCAGTGTGGGACTTGAACTTACAACCCCAACATCAAGAGTCTCTTGCTGTACTGACTGAGCCAGCCAAATGCCCCCAAATTCCAGGGTTTTCAAGTAGTTCTTTGGCTCTTTTTTCCTCTTGTATCTGGATATTTTAAACTCTGAGTTGCATATTACTTTGAGTAATCATCATCTGAATTCTGTGACCTCTAGAGGCATTTTTTTAATCCTCCTTTTTTTAATTTCAAGTTTTTTTTTTTAAAGATTTGTTTGTTTGATAGAGCGTGCATGGGGAAGAGGCAGGGAGAGAGGGGAGAATCTCTAGCAGACACCATGACTTCAGGCTCTATCTCATGACCCTAAGATCATGATCTGAGCTAAAACTAAGAGTCACTCACCTGACTGTGCCACTCAGGTGACCCCTTGAATTTTTATTTAAATTCTAGTTATCATATAGTACGTTATTGCTTTCAAGAGTAGAGGCTTGTGGGGGTGCCTGGGTAGCTCAGTTGGTTAAGCGTCTGCCTTCGGGCTCAGATTGTGAGCCCAGGGTCCTGGGATCAAGCCCTGCATCGGGTTCCCTGCTCAGCAGGGAGCTTGCCTCTTCCTCTCCTCCCTGCCTGTGCTCTCTCTCACTATATTTTCTGTCCCTCTCTCAAATAAATAATAAATAAAATCTTAAAAAAAAAAGGGAGAGAGAGGCTTTTTTTTTTTTTTTTTTTTGAGAGAGAGATTGAGGGGCGGGGTGCAGAGAGAGTGAAAGAATCCCAAGCAGGCTCTACACCCAGGACAGAGCCTGTCGTGGAGCTTGATCTCATGACCCTGAAATCATGACTTGGGTGGAAATCAAGAGTTGGACACTTTGGCGTGCCTGGGTGGCTCGTGGGCTAAACCTCTGCCTTTGGCTCAGGTCATGATCTCAGGGTCCTTGGATCGAGCCCCGCATCAGGCTCGCTGCACAGTGGGGAGCCTGCCCCCCACCCCCGCGCCAGCCTGCCTCTTTGCCTACTTGTGATCTCTCTCTCTGTCGAATAAATAAATAAAGTCTTAAAAAGAAAAAAAAGAGCTGGACACTTAACTGACTGAGACACCAGGTGCCCCAGAGGCAGTTTTTTACTTTTGAGTTCTTTCTTTGCTCGTTCTTTTAGGTAGTTGTGATCAGGAACTTCTGAATTGCTTGCTAGATCCTTCTCTGTAGAAGGAAGTTCCCTGCCTTCTTTATGAGCTGCTCTTATGTCACAGACTATACCTCCCCTCTAGCTACCTCTTTATTTTCTTTGTCTTTGGGACTGTGGTTTTTCACAGGTCACCAAATATTTCTGTCAGAATCTTAATGGATTTCTTTTTGTTGTTCAGTAATTTTTATTTTGGTATAATTCCAAGCAGAAAAATTGCAAGGAATATTTTATGTCTTTTATCCAGATTAATTAGCCAGTTGTTTATGTTTTGCCTCATTTATCAGTCTTTTTCCCCACCCCCCCCACACACGTGCACGCACCCTCTCTCAGATACATACATCTGTGTATGAGGGGTATATGCACATCATTTTTTTAAATTGCAGGAAAATAAATTGGACACCTGTAAACACAGTGTTGTGTTTCTTAAGAAGATTTGTCTTATGTAATCGCAGCGTTATTATCAGAAGTAGGAAATGTTAACATTCGTCATTACATTATGTAGCGTTCAATCCATATTCGGGTGTTACCAGTTTTGCAGTATTGTATTTTATAACCGTTTCCCTCTTTAGGCTCCAGTCCAGGATCACATAGTGCATTTTGTTGTCGTACCTTTTAATCTCTTTTAATCTCCTCAACCTTTCTGCCTTCCTTGACTCTAATGTTTGAATCAGGTAAGCCAGTTATTTTGTAGAATGTCCTTCAGTTTGGGTTTGTTTGATGTTCCCTGTAATTAGATTTAGCATTTTTGGCCAGAATGCCTTAGAGTGATGTAGACTTCTCAATGCGTTATGTCAGTTTGCCGCCATGTTAGTGATGTTAACTTTTCATCATTGGTTAAAGTGACAGCCACTAGGTTTCTCCATGTAGGAATTACTGTTTCCTGGGTTTCTTCTTTTGCATACTGACTTAGATCATGATAGTCACTGAGTAATTAGACCTTGGATTATTTTATGTTCATTATGCAGCTCGAGATGCTGCTGTGCAGAAGATCGAGACTATTATCAAGGAACAATTTGCACTTGAAATGAAGAATAAGGAACATGAAATTGAAGTCATTGACCAGGTATAATGGTGATAAATAATTTTTTTTAAAAAAAGCTGTTGCAAAAAAATCTGTTGATAGAATCATGATTTTTCCCCTTTGCTGTTCTTTTATTTATTTAAAGATTTATTTATTAGAGAGTGCATGAGCAGTGGGGAGGGGCAGAGGAAGTGGGAGAAGCATACTCCCCACTGAGTCAGGAGCCTGATGCACATGCGGGACTCAATCCCAGGACCCTGAGCATGCTCTGAGCCATGCAGGTGCCCCCCCCCACCTTACTGTTCTTTTAAAAAGTGTTCTCATTTTGGAAAAAAAGTTCTCTATATATATTTTGCCCCTATAAATGAAATGCAGAAATACATAATGAAAAAAATTACTTGAAATTCCATCCCCCCCAAAAATTCCTTTTTGCTCTTGTACATACTATTTTTGCAGACATTTCTCAATGAGTAGGCATACATACACATAAATATACATACTAACATGTCTGCATACTCTTTTAAAATTGGCTTTTTTCGAAATTCCTTTAAAAAATCTTTTGCAGTGTGACAGGTAGAGATGGTCATTTTTATTTGCCTTTCTTCGATTATTAGAGAATTGAGCTTTTGATCATTTGTATTCTTATTTTATGAATTTTTTGTAGTATATTTCATCTGTGATTTCTGTTTTTTAAAGTAACAAGTTGACATTTGTTTTTAGCGACTGATTGAGGCAAGAAGGATGATGGATAAACTTCGTGCTTGCATTGTTGCAAACTACTATGCTTCTGCAGGACTTCTAAAAGTTTCTGAGGTAAGTCTTCCTCATCTGCAGTCATTTCTGGCTATCCATATTTGGTGTGTGAAGGGGAAATTAGTGTTGTATGAAATTCCTGCCTTTGAAATGTTTCTTATATTGACCTTTGGAACTCAAGAAGCCTATCTTACCTTCCTGGGAAAACACATAAACTGTGAATAATCCTAAGTATCATTTTTCCCTTTATTTTTATTTTTTTTATTTAGAGAGAGCATGAGCGAGGGGTGGAGGAGGGATAGAGGGAGAGAGAAAATCTCAAGCAGGCTGCACACCCAGTGCAGAGCCCGACACAGGGGTCCGTCTCATGACCCTGAGATCATGGCCTGAGCTGAAATCAGGAGTCATATACTTAACCGACAACTTAGCCACCAGGCACCCTAACATTTTTCACTTTATATTAAATCCTTCTCCAGCTAATATTTAACACTGTTCCTAGGCTTTGTTAGGTACAAAGTTGAGTGAGACTGTATTCTAACTTCCCTTATTCTTCCTTTGGTTGTGATCAGCTTTGAAGTGAGTTTTAGATAGACTGATTTTCCTAATGAATAGCAATTTGTAGTTTCAGTATTCAGGAAGCCCTGATTTTTTTCCCCTCACTTCCTATGAAAAATCTCAAATCCACAGAAGAGATTAAATAAGCACCTGTTTTTGCATCATATTCACCATCTTAACATTTTGTCATCTTTGTTTTATCTATCTTACTTTTCTGTAAAACATTTGAAAATAAGTTCCAGGCGTCACCCTTAAATCATGCATTTCCTAAAGGATATTCTTGTATGACTTCCTGATATTATTTGATAATCAGTCCATATTCAGATTTTCCCATTCATCCCCAAAATATCTTTTAAAGCTGTTTTTTGATGTAGGATCTAATCAGAGTTCAGGGGCTACATTTGGTTGTTTGGTTTCTCTAGACTTATTTTATCTAAAATAGTTAACCTTTTCTCCCCATGATATTGACTTATTTAAAGAGATCAGGACATTTATCCTACATTTTGTGTTTGTTTTTTTTCCTCTTGGGTTATTCCTTCATTCCGTTTTTCTGCAAACTGATAGTTGGGTCTAAAGATTTTATTAAAGTTAGAACTTTTTGGCAATGATACTTCATAAGTGATACTAGATACCTCATATATCACAAACTGTTTGGAATATTAAGTTTTTATCACTTTGGTAATGTGATTGCCACTGGATTACTCCATTTATTAAGGAATAGGGATAGGATTGAAACTGAAACAGAAGTGTTTCTTCTTGTTTGATATATATATTTTTAAAATATTTTATTTATTTATTTGACAGAGATCACAAGTAGGCAGAGAGGCAGGCAGAGAGAGAGGAGGAAGCAGGCTCCCCTCGGAGCAGAGAGCCTGATGTGGGGCTCGATCCCAGGACCCTGGGATCATGACCTGAGCTGAAGGCAGAGGCTTAACCCACTGAGCCACCCAGGCGCCCTTGTTTGATATTTTGATAATTTCCTATAACTTTTATTCATTTTTCATTTTCAAATTTCCTAAGTTTTCTCACTTAGAATTAGATAATTCTCTTGGATAGTACTGGCTCAATGAGAGTGGTAGCAGGCCTGGGGGAACGTACAATGCCATACTGGTTTGCATTGTCCCCCATGGTTTTTACAGGTGAAATGTACCATATTTTGGCTTTCATGTCATCCTGTGTTCCTCAAGGGTACCTGGCCTTGGTCATACTCCCGATGTTGTCTTAGAAATCTGGAGCATTATTTGAATTTCATCTCAGATGTTAGGTAGTTATTTCTTCTACCGCAGGAGTTTCCCTAATACATACTAGAGTCTGAGCTATTTTTTAGAGCTATCATAACAAATTTCCACTAGCTTCATGGCTTAAAACAAGAGGAATTTAGTATCTCATGATTCTGGAGGCTAACAGTCCAAAATCAAGGTGTTGCTAGACCGTGTTCTCTCTGAAGGCTCTAGGAAAGAATCCTTCCTCACCTTCTCCTACCTTCTGGCAGTTGCTGGCAAACCTTGGCATTCCTTAGTTTGTGGCTACATCACTCCATTTTCTGCCCCTATCTTCACATGGATGTTTTACCTGTTACGTGTCTTCACAATTTCTCTCTCCACATTTCCCTTCTATTAGGTAAGCCCTAATCCCGTATGACATTATCAACTTGATTACATTTGCAAAGACCCTGTTTCTAAATAAAGTCACATTCACAGGTTCGGAGTGGACATGAATTTTTGGGAGACACTCTTCAAAACAGGGCAGATTTTACTGTCCTCTGTTACATGGTTTGCTATTGGATCCAACAAGATGGACATTATAAGCTAGTTATCTGTGTGACATGGGACTTGTAGGTACTCTATTTGAAGAGATTGTTGTCTATTTAATGTTTTGTTGTTGTTGTTTTTAAAATTTGTTTATTATTAGAGAGAGTGTGTGAGTGAGGGAATGATGGGGATGGGGAGCAGAGGGAGAGAGAAACTTCAGCAGACTGCCTGCTGAGTGGGGAGCCTGACATGGGGCTTAATCTCCTGACCCTGAGATCACAACCTGAGCTGAAACAAAGAGTTTGTTGCTTAACCAACTGTGCCACCCAGGCAGCACCTCCCCGCCTTTTTATAAACCATTAGCAGTTCTGTGTTATTTGGTAGTCTAGAAGTGCACTGATTATTTTTTCCTGTTATATTCTGATTAGAATTAATTGAAAGATATTTAGGTGTATTTTTGTCTATTATGATCTGCCATTTGTTTTTCATTTGCTGTAACAAAATACATCACAGCTCTAAAAAATAGCCCTTATTATTTTGTTTAAGTTTATTTATTTATTTATTTATTTTAAAAGATTTTATTTACTTATTTGCCAGATAGAGATCACAAGTAGGCAGAGAGTCAGGCAGAGAGAGAGGAGGAAGCAGGCTCTCCGCTGAGCAGAGAGCCCGATGCAGGGCTCGATCCCAGGACCCTGGGATCATGACCTGAGCTGAAGGCAGAGGCTTTAATCCACTGAGCCACCCAGGTGCCCCAAAATACCCTTTATTATTGAGATGCAATAATTTTGTTGCTCTGAAATACTAGCCTCTGGCTCTTTTCTTATTGCTAAATTATGTTCCTTGCACAGCTTTTAAAAGCTGGGCTTCCTAGGAATCGTAGAGTGTATCCCATTATAACAGAATACACTGTATTTTGTATCCAAATAACAAGAAACACAGAAATACTCCAGGCCTCAGTACTGGACTTACGACAAACTTTACATGTAAGTATGAATCATTTTAAAGCATTCTATACTACATTTTACTCCTACTTGGGAGCCATTTTACATATACTTTTTTTATATCTTTTTATATTTTATAGGAACATCGTATGTAGAGCAGTTGATGTGTTTGTATTAAAGGCAGTGTGAGGCTTATTTTTTTTTTTTAAGATTTTTTTTTTTTTTTTTTTGACAGAGATCACAAGTAGGCAGAGAGGCAGGCAGAGAGGGGCGGGGAAGCAGGCTCCCTGCTGAGCAGAGAGCCTGATGTGGGGCTTGATCCCAGGACCCTGAAATTCTGACCTGAGCCGAAGGCAGAGGCTTAACCCACTGAGCCACCCAGGTGCCCCAAGGCTTGTTTTTTATTTTAAGTCAAATCTTATTTTTTTTTTAAGATTTTATTTACTTATTTGACAGAGATCACAAGTAGTCAGAGAGGCAGGAAGGGGGGGGGGACCCAATGTGGGCCTCGATCGCAGGACCCTTAGATGATGAGCTGAGCCTAAGGCAGAGGCTTAACCACTGAGCCACCCAGGCGCCCTAAAGTCAAATCTTATTTCCCATATGTTACCTTGTATTTACCTCTATTTTTCATTTAGTTTCAGAGAACTTGCATCTTTAGCTTTTAGTGTTAGGACCTTCACATAATAATCACTTTCTAGCTTTTGTTGGCTCAGACCACATTAAGGAGCTTGGACTTCATTTTATGGGTGTGGGCAGATTTTGAAGGATTTTAAGCATGTTCCCTAAATAGATGAGGATTTGGCAAGATTAAATTTACCTACTTTTGGTAGGTTTGATTAAAAGTTTGTTTTGTTTGCTTTCATTTTTGCAGGGATCAAAGACATGTGATACGATGGTTTTTAATCATCCTGCTATCAAGAAATTTTTGGAGTCACCATCTAGGTCTTCCTCTCCTGCCAATCAGAGATCAGAGACACCATCAGCCAATCATTCAGAAAGTGATTCTTTATCTCAACATAATGACTTCTTATCTGACAAAGACAATAACAGCAATATGGATATAGAAGAAAGACTCTCAAACAACATGGAACAGAGACCGAGCCGAAATACTGGAAGGGTATAATTTGATGGGTGGGAGGGAGAAGAGAAGGAAACTAGTATTTTTAAAGTATATACGTGTTATTCCATTTCACCTTCATAGAAACTCTAGGAAATAGGTTAATTATATCCCTTTTGGAGATGGGGCAACTGAGTCTCAAAGAGTTTACAGTTATATTTATCCAAAAGTATCAGAACTGAGAATTAAACTGAATTAAGCTGAGAATTAAACTGAATCAGAACTGGACATGGGGGGCACCTGGGTGGCTCAGTGGGTTAAAGCCTCTGCCTTCGGCTCAGGTCATGATCCCAGGGTCCTGGGATCGAGCCCCATATCGGGTTCCCTCCTCGTGGGGAGTCTGCTTCCTCCTCTCTCTCTGCCTGCCTCTCTGCCTATTTGTGATCTCTGTCAAATAAATAAATAAAATATTAAAAAAAAAAAAAAAAAGAACTGGATATGGCACAATCCTAGGTGCCATCCACATTGATAAGAGAGAAACCTTGAAGAATTGGCAATTCTGTGACCTTGTCCAGGGTCTTTCCAGCCTGTCATGTTTGTTCTCTCTCCATCATTTTTGTGAAACTTAAATGCTTTTATAAATTAATTTATAACTGGGGGAAACTTGACAAATAATAAATAGAATTGAAAACCATTTATTCCTCTTTGATCCTGCCAATTCCTTATTTGAGTTCCCATCTCAAGCTGCTCTGAACTTCTTGGTATATAATATTTGGCTATAGAGCCCTTATTGGATGATTTTTCTCAGTCAGGTGTTCTGTGATAGAGGAGATATCCAGGTTGCTTTTTGCATATTCAGACATCAAGAATTTGATTTATTGTTTTTTAAAGAGTTTATTTAGGGGCGCCTGGGTGGCTCAGTGGATTAAAGCCTCTGCCTTCAGCTTGGGTCATGATCCCAGAGTCCTGGGATCAAGCCCTGCATCGGGCTCTCGGCTCAGCAGGGAACCTGCTTCCCCCTCTCTCTGTCTGCCTCTCTTCCTACTTGTGACCTCTTATAAATACATAAATAAATAAAATCTTTAAAAAAATATAGTTTATTTATATATTTTACAGAGATCACAAGTAGGCAGAGAGGCAGGCAGAGAGAGAGGGGGAAGCAGATTCTCTGCTGAGCCCAGAGCCCGATGTGGGGCTTGATCCCAGGACCCTGAGATCATGACCTGAGCCTAATGCAGAGGCTTAACCCACTGAGCCACTCAAGCGCCCCAAGAAATTGATTTATTTTTGATAAAAATTAAATTTAAAAAATTTTCTGGTTACAAATTCATGTGTTCATTGTTGAAAATTTAAACTATAAGAAAATAAAAAAGTTATTCATAATTCCACCACCCAAAAATGAAAACTTTTTTTTTTTTTAAGATTTTATTTATTTATTCGACAGACAGAGATCACAAGTAGGCAGAGAGGCAGGCAGAGAGAGAGGAAGGGAAGCAGGCTCCCCGCTGAGCAGAGAGCCCAGTGCGGGGCTTGATCCCACGACCCTGGGATCATGACCTGAGCCGAAGATAGAAGCTTTAACCCACTGAGCCACCCAGGTGCCCCAAAATGAAAACTCTTAATGTTTGGATTTATTTGTTTATTACCAGTATTCTAATTGGACAAGTACTGCATTTTTTTTTTTTTGTGGGTTTTTGTGTTTTGTTTTCTTAAGATTCTGTTTTCTTTTCTTTTTTTTTTTTTTAAGATTTTATTTATTTTTTGTCAGAGAGAGAAAGAACAAGCAGGCAGAATGGCAGGCAGAGGCAGAGAGAAGCAGGCTCCCTGCTGAGCAAGGAGCCCTATGTGGCACTTGATCCCAGGACCCTGGGATCATGACTTGAGCCAAAGGCAGCCGCTTAACTGACTGAGCCACCCAGGTGTCCCAAGATTTTATTTTTAAGTAATATCTGCACCCAACATGGGGCTGAAATTTATAGCCCCAAGATCAAAAGGTCGCATGTTCTACCAGATAACCCAGCCAGGCACCCATTTGGGTTTTTTGTTTTTTTGTTTTTCTTTTTTTTTTTTTTAATTAAAAAGAATTTAGGCAATACTGGTTATAGGAGTTAGAAACTTACCATCTTGTATGTAATATACATGCTCATATTTATGTAACATACGTTTAGTACTTACTGTATACTAGGCACTTCTTTCGGAACTGTACAAAACAAGTATGTGAGATTATCCTTATTTTTAAATTTTTTTAGAGAAAGTGGTGTGGGGGTTGCAGAGGGAGAGGGAGAGAGAGAATCTTAAGGACGCTCTATACTCAGTATGGAGTCCAGCTCAGGGCTCAATCCCAGGACCCTGAGATCATGACCTGAGCTGAAATCAAGAGTCGGATGCTTAACCAACTGAGCCACCCAGGCACCCTAGGTTTTTAAAAAATTTTTAAGTAACCTCTATACCCAAGATGGGGCTCAAACTCACAGTCCAGAGATCAACCATCACATGCTCCACTGAGTGAGTCAGCCAGGTGCTCCTGTTATCCTTATTTTATAGATGAGGAAATTGAGACAGAGAAGAAGTTAAGTAATTACACAAAACTTCACATCTAGTCAATGGAAGAGCCAAGATTTAAACCCTGGCAGTCTATCTGCATAGTCAAACTTTAGTCATTTGTCTATGTTACTTCTCACTGAAAAATTTTTAATAAATACAGAAGGTTGAAAAGAAAGTAAATTCCATTGACCCCTCTCCCCATTCCCATTTCCCAGAGGTAACCATTGTAATAGTTTCTTGTATATCCTTCCATATCCTATTTGCATATACAGCACAAGGGTGTCTGTGAAAAACAGATACATACACATGGAGTTACAGTGAACAAATATTTTTTGCAAACAAATGCAAAAGATACAGTAAAATTACTTTTATGCTCTGAGAGGTACCACAAAACCAGAGAATTTTGTAATGAATAAAAAAAAATCTGAGTTGCTCCAATCATACCATGATTTTGTGGTTTCTGCCCATTGGATATTGTCCAAATTGAAAGTGAAAATTGATTATGATTTCTTTCAGGACACCGCTAGTATTACTGCCTCTCATAAAACAGAGCAGCGGAATGCTGATCTCACAGGAGATGAGACTTCACGACTTTTTGTAAAGAAAACAATAGTAGTGGGCAATGTGTCCAAGTGAGTATCCAGTTGAATTCTTTCACTTTCAGTTATCCATTTATGTTAATATTCTGGCATACTTTTATTATTGTAGTATTACTGTAGGATGAGGCCTTAAGGATTTTTTTCCCTTAAACTCTTAGTTGTTTTAAAAGTAAACTTGAGGTCCAGAGACTTGAAACTGCCTCAGTATGTCTGCTAATCTTTGACATAGAATAAAATTGTGCTTGGTAAACATTTCTGAGACATGAGCTTTTATATAAATGGCATATATTTTTTTTAAGATTTTATTTTTAAGTAATCCCTGTATCCAAAGTGGGGCTGGAACTCACAACCCTAAAATCAAGAGTTGCACACTCCACAGGCTGAGCCAGCCAGGTGCCCCACTTACAAATGGTATATTTTATCAAGCATATTATTTTGGATAAGTTATAAGAACTTTAAACTTTCTGACCTAGGTCTATCCTTGGCGGCCTTAGCTAATTGCTAAAAAATGTTTGTTGTCCAAATTGAAATGTTTTAAATTTTTAACAGAAAGTTACAGAGCATGTCTTGAAGACAGAATTTCTCCAGGCTGAAGGACTAGCTCTTTAACAATATGATTTCATGGTGTCTTGTGGGAGTGCTGTCCTTTTGCCAACTATTTAGAAATGGATAAAGACATAAATCCTCAAATAGCATAAGAATGTTATTTTCTCACAAAGTCTTTACCTTTCTTTTCCCTCATTAGGTGTATTTTCTCTATGCTCTCTTGTCATCTTTTTCATATTATATCGTCATTTCCTATTTCTGTGTATTTTTCCCAAATCACACTGGAATTTCTTTAGGGTAGAAAGTATGTCTTGTTTGTTTTATATCATACAGTAGTTGGTATTCATTAAATATTTGATTGTTGAATAAGTTGATAGATTTATGAAAATTGTAATTATACTCAGTTATTGAAAATAAAGGATTCAGGCAGACGGTAATTATTTGGGAGGAAAAATCAGGTTGGGGGGAAATCTTCCAACCCCCAGTTAATGGACCACAAATTAAAAACTTTAAAAAAAGAACATTTTAAAACTTTGGGATAATAAAAGCAAAGATTTCTAATCGTCTGTGTGATAGTTTTAAAATGGAAGCATAAAATATGATTAAGGCAGTTAGATTTCTATTTATAGATTATTATAGAATTAGCATGCATTTAGCTAGACTCTGAGACCATGTGAAGTGTTAAGAGTTGGCATCTTAACAATAATGCAAGACCGGTCAGCTCAGAAAGTCCAAAACTGGAAACGTAGATGGACCCACCAGAAGACCGGGGAGAAATCATCATTGACATTTTCGAACAATTACACTTAATTTGTAGGTGTTTGGGTTTTTTCAAGACCAGCTACAACTAAAATAATGGTTCATCATGAACCAGCTGATCCACCTAGGGAACCCTAGACATTGAGATTTAAACTTAAAAAGTAGTTTAAGAGGAGGGGCGCCCGGGTGGCTCAGTGTGTTGGGCCTCTGCCTTCAGCTCAGGTCATGATCTCAGGGTCCTGGGATCGAGCCCTGCATTGGTCTCTCTGCGCGGCAGGAAGCCCTGCCTACTTATGATCTCTCTCTCTCTCTCTCTCTCTGTCAAATAAATAAATAAATAAAATCTTTAAAAAAAAAAAAGAAAAAGTAAGAGGAAGATAGGGAAATTGAATGAAAAAAAGGGGGAGGATCCCTGATTCCAAAAGAAGGCAAGCAGGGACAGGGGAAGGGATGTGAAAAAGAGAAAGAACAAGACAAATAATATAAAATAACTTAGTAACAAATCTAAATTTATCAATAATCATAAAAATTGCCTAGGGATTTAGTTAGCTATTTAAAAGATAGAAATTGGGCGCCTGAGTGTCTCAGTTGTTAAGCAGCTGCCTTCGGCTCGGGTCATGATCCCAATGTCCTGGGATCGAGTCCTGCATCAGGCTCCTTGCTCAGCGGGGAGTCTGCTTCTCCCTCTCCCACTCCACCTGCTTGTGTTCCCGCTCAAAATACTTGTATGAATGTAAAAGATCTGAACTTCAGTTAATAAAGTTGATCTAATATATACATATAGACTAGTACATGTAATAGTTGAAGCATTTTTTAAAAAGATATTATTTATTTGAAAGAGTAAGAGCAAGAGCAAGTGGGGGGAGGGGCAGAGGGAGAGGCTGAAGCAGATTCTGTGCTGAGTGCAGAGCCCAGCGTGGGACCCATGACACAGAGATCATGACCTGAGTTGGATGCTTAACTGACTGAGCCTCCCAGGTGCCCCTAGTTAAACATTTTTAAGCACTTAAGGAACGTTTATGAAAATGGACTATACAATAGGCCATAAAGTAAGCTTCAAGGACTACACACTACTTTTTTTTTTTTTTTAAAGATTTTATTGTTAAGCCATCTCTGCACCCAGCTTGGAGCTTGAACCCACAACCCCGAGATAAGAGTCACATGCTCCACTGATTCAGCAAGCCAGGTGCTCGCAGACTACGTTTTGGTTTTGTTTTGTTTTTTGAAGATTTATTTATTTATTTGACAGAGTGCACTTGAGTGCGTGAGGGAGGGCAGAGGGAAAGAGAATCTCAAGCCAACTTTGCGCTAAGCATGGAGCCTGACCTGAGACCAGGAATCAAAACCAAAAAAGCTGGAAGCTCAACTGATGGTATGACCCAGGTCCCCCCAACCAGACTACTTTTTTGACTGTTGTTACAGTATAGTTAATTGGTAAAGTAGGAAAACTAGGAAACTTCTTTTTTTTTTAAAGATTTTATTTATTTGAGAGAGACAGAGAGGGTACAAGTTGGGGGTTGGGCAGAGGGAGAGGGAGAAGCAGACAATGTGGGGCTCATTTCCAGGATCCTGAGATCATGACCAAAACTAAGGTCAGACACTTAAAGAACTACCCAGGTGCCCCTAGAAAACTTTATGTCTAGAAATTCAAACTACTTCTGAACAACACATAAGTCAATGAAAAATCACATTTAAATATCCAAAATAAATAATAAAAATTTGTCGGATAACACTAAAGGGATATTTAAAAGGAAATATTTACAGTAGAAGAAAATGGGGTAGAAGAAAAGTTTAAAATTAGTGAACTAAACATCTCATTTAGACAAAATAATGCAGTAGGAGAAGCAAAGAAATTAGGGGAAAAAGTATACACAAACCTAGTGAAACTAAGGAGAAGAGAAAGAAGACAAAAATATTAGAAATGAAAAAGGGCATAGCTACAGATGCTGTACTATTAAAGAGATAAATAATGAACACCCGGGGCACCGGGGTGGCTCAGTGGGTTAAGCCTCTGCCTTCGGCTCAGGTCATGATCTCAGGGTCCTAGGATCGAGCCCCACATCGGGCTTTCTGCTCAGCAGGGAGCCTGCTCTCCCCCGCCGCCCCCGCCTGCCTCTCTGCCTACTTATGATCTCTGTCAAATAAATAAAATCTTTAAAAAAAAAATAATGAATACCTTTATGCCAATGGAAAATTTAGGTGAAATGGCGAGTTCCTAGAAAAATACAACTTAGGACTTAGGAAAAACCTTGAAGAGTCTTTGAACTACTAAGTTTAATTACTGATTTTAAAACATTGCCATCACAAAAGCAAACCAAACTACTAGGCTTAGATTGCTTTACAGGCTGAGTGAACATATAATTTCAGTTGTTTACGAAATCTTCTGGGGAGGGAAGTCTGGCTGGCTTAGTTAGTAGAGATTCTTGATCTGGGGGTCATGAGTTTGAGCCCCACATTGGGAGTGTAGAGATTACTTAAAATAAAAAAAAAAGTAACCAAAACCCCCAGATCTTCTGGGGAAAAAGAAACAACTCTTGTCAGTTTATGTTATGAGAGTAGCCTTTTTTAATAAGGCCAAATAGTTTGTAAGAAAAGGAAAACTAGGATATTCACAGTTAAGAATATAGGTGCAGAAATACTGAACAAAATCATTAGGAAACAGAATTCATTAAATACAGAAATGATAATACTTCATGATCAAGACATGCAAGTTTGGATTAACATTAGAAATCAATATAATTTGGCCCACTGCATTAGTAAGGGTAAGCATAGACATAGGTAAACATAGAGGGCCATGACCGTATTTTCCAACAGAATGTGATAAGGAGGCCTCATGAAATAAAGGGAGAGCTAAAGATACTAGTTTTACTATGGTCAGGACTGAAGGGAATGGTTTGTTTTTGCTTTTAAAATGTGAGAGACCAGTTGTAACCTTCCTGGCAGCAATGGGTAAGAACCAGAAGAGTTCAGGGTTCTAACACCCTGAAAGCTGAGTGAAATCAACACAAAGGCTAGAGCATCCCTAACCCAGTAATATGCCAGTTTATTTCTATCTCATGTATCAGCTTGGAAAAGCAAGGTTGATTTCTTTTTTTTTAATTGCATGGTGGTAATCAGAAAATAAACTTTAAGGGAATGTTCCTTAGACCAGGAAAAAAAAAAAAGTTTAAAAGAAAAAGATTAACTGCAAAGACTCACTTTGCTTGGTTAGGTGATAGAGCTGTTAAATATTGGTGGGATTCAATTTTTTAAGAAAAAGCTTTTTTAGGGGAGTGGGGATATAACCTTCCAGTTATGGAATGAAGAAGTCATGGGGATGAAAGGTCCAGTATAGGGAATATTATAGTCACTGGTACTGTAGTAGCATATGGGAACAGATAGGGTGAGCATAGCATAATGTATTGTTGAATCATTGTATTGTACACCTGAAACTAATGTAACATTGTATCAACTGTACTTCAGTTAAAAAAAAAAATTCAGCCTTATTGACAAAAGATTTAAAGTGTATATTATGATTTGATGCATGTATGCATTTTGAAGGGATTCCTGCCATCAAGTTAATTTAACAACACATCCCTCATCAACTCACTTTCTTTTTTCAGATTTTTATATATTTTTTTTTTAATTTGACAGAGATCACAAGTAGGCAGAGAGGCAGGCAGAGAGAGAGGAAAGCAGGCTTCCTGCCGAGCAGAGAGCCCGACGCGAGGCTCGATCCCAGGACCCTG